TTCTGCAGTGACTCAGTTTCTTTGTAGACAGTTTCTTGACTCAGTTTACTTTGGTAGACAATTTTGTTTCTTGTTTCAAACTATGTAGCCCAGGCTGACCTTGAATTTGTGACCTTCCTGCCTGTCTCCCAAGTGCTGGGATTATAGGTGTGAACCTGTCTAATACAGCAGACATTTTTACGCATTGAATTAGCAAAGATTTTTCCCATATGGTTTTAAAAGCAAGTGTAGTGGATTCCCTGGGGAAAGGGCAAGGTTGGTTAGTCGCATGAGGATCTCTGAGGAGCCAGAAATATCCTGAGTTGGGTCTGGTTACACAGGGGTGTTCATGTTCTCAAAATTTACCGAGCTATCACACTAACAATTTGTAGTTTTCTATATATGCTACTCCACTTTCTAATGGAAAATTCTTCTTAAAATGAAGGTGTTTTCTGTTTTTAAAGGACATCCAGTGCTGATGGGATGGATGCAAGTAAGCACTACAGGGTGAGACTCTAAATTGTCATAGATTTTTAAAAAAGCAATGAATTGATGTAGCCCAGGCTTTCTTTGTCCTATACTTCTGAAACTTCTTTAGTAAATATTCCAGAAAACAAAAATTTACATATGACCAATTCACTGTAGCATAAGTGAAAAGTTGAAAAATGCTACATGTTAAGGGAAGGATGCAAAATGTTATATATCTTTAGTTCCTACTATGCTAAAGCATTTTGAAGGCTCATAGTAAATAAGATCTAGTTATTTAAAAAATGACATTATATATCTTTAAAACTTCAGTAAATAAGAGTTCTAGAAGGTATTTGCTTCCCAAACCAACCAGATTTTTTGGCATTTAAAAAAAAAAAATCCCACTGGTAGTGGTAATACAGAATGGTAAGATACTTTGAGAACCAGTTTAGTAGTTCTTCAACAGTTAAACACCAGTTACCATATGAGCTAGCAATTCCACTTCTAGGTGTATACCCAGGAGAAATGGAGCATATGTCCACACAAAACATGGACAAGGGTATCATGCAGCATCATTCATAAAGACTCAAAGGTGGAAACAACCCAAATGTCCACGACCAATGAACGGGTAAGTAAAATGGAACATATGTATACAATGGGATATTACTCATTCATTAAAAGAAACTTGAAATCATCAGACTAAGTGAAAAAAAGTCAGACACAAAGAACTCTGTCTGACATGATTCCACTTATATGCACTGTTCACAGGCAAATCTACAGGGACAGAAAGATTAGTGGTTGTTCCACAGGGTTGGAGGAATAGGGAGTGACTCCTATTGGGTTCAGGATTTCGAGGGTATCTGCAAATGTTGTAAAATTGACTGGGGTGTGTATTACACACACATGCAGTTGTGTCCCTCTCTGGCATTCCCTTCAATAGTACAGGGCACATTCGGCGCTCTAGTCAAGAGCTCTTACAGCAGATCTCCTGGAAGTGCAGGAGCCTGTACCTGTTTCTTCATGCCAGCCCTCATTGGCTGAAAGTGCTCCACTGCTTTTGTATCTTTATGAATCCTTAGTAAAAAACACATGGATAACTCCTGGATATTTTTATAGGTTGCTAACATACTTAAGGGCATGTTGCATGGGTCCCATCTCTTGTCTGTACACAAATCTTTTACCCCTTGCCCTGCCCCTGCCTTCTGACTTGTGATAGGACAAGGAAGGTAAGATCAGAAAGCACAAGAGAGGATGGTTTACCCTGAGGCTTGAGTGGACCAAAAACTGCTGAAGGGGACAGAACAGTGGGCCTATAAGAAGGGGGCTTTTAAGGACTGCTAGTGTGGTGGTGCACAGGACTATAATCCCAGATACTCTGGAAGTGAGGCAGGAGGATCAATTCAATCTAGGAGTTCAAGACCAACTTGGGCTTCAGAGATCCTGTCTCAAAAAAGCAAAAACAGAAATTATTGCTAGGGAACCACAATGCTTAATCGATGATAAAATTTAAAAAAAAAAGGAAGTTTGACCTGAGTGTGGTGGCATACACCTATAATTCCAGCTACTCAGGAGATGGAGATAGGATGCCAGCATGAGACTAGCCCAGGCAAAGTTAGCACAAGACCCTACCTGAAAAAAAGAAAAAAACCAAATGACTGGTTCAAATTAGAGTGCTTAATCCCCAGTACAAACAAATCAAAACAAACAAACAAAAAAAACACTAAAGAAAAGCAAAAAGAATTGTTACTTAGATGTTTCTGGTTTCCCGAGCTGTGTTGTTTTTAATTGACACCACTCAGTTTAAAGCACATACTCATTACTTTGTAAGTTTTGTAAGTTTATAGCTCACACACACCTTTTCTTAACATGACTCCCAAGTGTTGTGGGCTTTGGTTTAGTAAGACAAAGGGCAAAGCCATGATTGTTTAAGAGATTCTATATGATAAAATGCTGCTTCCTCCATATTGTAGGATATGGAATTCTTTTCTTTATACGTATCTGCACTTTCAAGTTTTGTTTGTACAATCAATCTCTATTACGTAAACCATTAATGAAACTACTATAGCGCTAGGATTATGCCTGAGTGCTACTGAATAAGCAGGTCCTGAGAAAAAAGCAGATAGAACCAGAGGACAGAATGTCTGTCTCCTCAGCACTCTGAGGTTTCTAATAAACTGAGTTCGGATCAGAGTCCTGGCCTCAGTGAATGGGTCCCAAGACTTGTCAGTGCTGGCATGCCACCAGGTTCAGCCACTTCTGTGCAGAGGCCTTGATTCTGAGGGGCTGAATCTTCCTGCAACCCTTCTTCTATGGTGGTATAAAGCCAAGAACAAACGGAAGATCTCCATGTGAGAAAGATCGATCTGGCTCAAATCCTGGTCAGTGACTGAAGAGGTGAGCATCTCTCTCACCAGTGATGCGAGGGATGATTAAGGGACTGGAAATATTTAGACTGAAGATGTGTAAGACACTGTAACTACCTCCAAAGTGGTAGACTGTCACCTGCGAGAGTCCTGGGAGACAGGCTTGGGACAGACCACCATGTGGTTAAAGGGAGTCAAGTTTTACCTTGATGTAGGAAGAACATTCCATCCATCATAGGTCCGTCTGGAACGGACTGCCTCCACAGTTCTATCTTCGCCAGACACTGGACCTCATGGTTTCAGACACTTACAAGGCCCACTGGTTATGAAGACAGCTGGACTCTCAATTCTGTCTTTTCTCTAACCCAGATCTCCTGAGTCTGCAGTTCAGGCTTTCTGCACCCATTTTGCCTTGTTTTGGTTTACTTTCATTAAATAGAGGAAGTTCTCTTAGAACCCCAGGCTAACATGCAGTTGCACAAATGCATCATTTGGATCCATTGACTACCCAGCCTTGGAAGGTCAAAGTTGCACCCCTGGCTCTTGGAGTGCCTGGCCAGTGTGGCCGTTCAGGCTCTGCTGCACTCTTGTGGACATGAGAACACAGTTACTTAGAAAAGTAATTAGAGGCATTGAAGCTCTTTGCACATATCCCACTTCCCCTCTCCCAAAAAACTTACACTTTAGTGTGAGTGCTGCAGCTTACCAGGTCATTTTATGTACAGTTATACCACCCTTGTGTCTCCTAAGTCTTGGGATTTTAGCCACGTATAAAACCCCAGTGCTATTGTTCTGCCATTCTCCATGTAATCTTGGATGTCATTTCACATCTACGCATTAAAGACGTGAGTCTGCTGATAAGGGGCTACAAAGCCATTGCTGCCTGAAATACTAGACTTGGAAATTTATAAAGTATTCTGGCCAAGCACCGGTAACTCATGCCTGTAATCCTAGCTCTTGGGAGGCTGATTGGGAGGATCACAGTTTGAGGCCAGCCCAGGCAAATAGTTCGAGACCCCATCTCCATCTCCAAAATAACCAGAGCAAAATGGACTGGAGGTGTGGCTCAGGTAGTACAGTACCTGCTTTGCAAGTGCAAAGATCTAAGTTCAAACCCCAGTTCCACCAAAAATAAGTATATAAAATGCTCAAGAGGTTTGCAGATGAACTCCTTTAGAAAAAAGCGGTGTGACATGTGCTACGGCCACTCATCACAGCCCAGAGCCATGGGTTCTATTCCAGGATAGCAATGCAGGCTCCTGAAGTGACCTGCAAACTCCAGATGGTTCATCAGGGCTGTCAGCCTCAGTGATCACCATCATCAGAAGCTTTGCTTGCCCTGAAATAGAAACTACAGTAGACTGAGCAGAGAGGGACCAACAATTCCGGGCTGCCATGTGTCTTTAACATGTACAAGTTTTCTGAGTAGGTTCTGCCACTCTGGAGAGAATACAGAGCTCTGTGACCATGAGTAACTGGAAGGGACTTCTCACTGTTCCTAAACATTAGTCACCTTCTCCATGCTGAGGGCTTGCTGGAACATTAGTCAGGTGTTTAACCCCAAACCGGAAAAAAAAAAACGTTTGGACTAAATCTACAGTTTGTAGCTGAGTAAGGAATGTGCCTGTTTTGTAGAAAAAGGAAAGAAGAGAGGGAGAGAGGGAGGGGGGAGAAGGGAGAGGGAGAAAGAAAGAAAGTCCTTGTACTTAATTATCTTTTTGCACAAAAGATAATTTTCCTTCAAAAACTGCCTTGTTAAGTTGTTCCTGATGTAGTTTCTAAAAGAAGTTCACTTCAGTCTGGAGACTACCATAGTGAATTTTCTGTTGGCCTGTACTAAAGCTCCTTCCCTCCCTGGAGTTCCAGCAAAAATTCAAAAGCAGATGACATTCTGTTGACCTCAGACACCTTGCATCAAGGAACATCTTGGTGAGGTATGTATGACATTAGTCTTAGAAGAACAGTCACTGCAATGAAGGTTTAATGGGTTGTTTAGTTACTCTGACCTTTGTAAATGTTCTTTTAAAGAGGTCTTATAACTGGTATAGTTTCCACTAAAAACTAAGTAAAGAACCAGCAGGAACGAACCAGCAGGAGTGCTAATAACCTGACTAACCCTAGGGCTGTGGAAGAGCAATAGGCTGATCAGTCTTAACAAAGGTTTGTTAATAAAAGTAGCTTACTTACTCTGAGTGCAGCTGTGGCCCAGGCTCTGTTTTAGGTTTTTACACACAAAATCTCTAAACCTTTATGCTAACCCTAAAAGGCATGTAAGACAGACTTGCATTTCTTACTGTGAGTGGTAGAACCAGAAACAGAACTGAAGTCTGCTCTGCCCTTGCCAGGACTGAGCTTCTCCCTCTACAGCTCCTGAAAGCTGCCTTGTACTACAGAGGGGAGAGAGAAGGCAGAGAGGACAGGGAGGCCTCTGTGACACCACCTCGTGCTTTAACGGCTATGATTTCTTTTATACTGAACACCCAGTTAAGATTTTATTTGAAGCAAGTCTTGGTTTGTTTCAGTATGTATTTCATTTTTTATTCTTCACCCTCCTTCATTCATGGCAGGTAGGTTCTAGAGATCCTGGAAATGCTTGAAACAGAATAATAGGATCGCCTGTGGAAATTCACCTGGCGATCAAACTACATGCTGTAAGAGCCATCCAAACAAAGGCTGGGAAGGGCAGCCTGTAAGACATGGGCCGTGTCCTGTAATACAGGGGGCTGGTCCCCAATACTGGTTATGATGCTCACAGCTGTGAAGAGATGCATTATCCATTTGCTTACTGCTGTTGCTTTTCTGATTAGAAGATACAGAGTCACTTTAGGTAACTTCCATTTAATTTAACATTTATTTTCATTTATATCCAGATGTCACATTTTCTACATTAAAATATAATCATGCTTGCTCCCCACCCCCCAACCCCCTCAGAGAAAAAGTGAACTTCACACAGCTGGAAAGATGGAATGTACAGAGTAGGAAGTTACTACTGTACCCGAGTAACACACAACACAGAGACCCAACAGCAGACATGGCAGAACTGCACAGAGTAGCTCAGGCTCACACCAGGAAGAAGGAATGAATGAAATGCTGCCATTTATGCCACAAGATCACCCTGAAAAATAAAGCTAGGTCAGAAAGTAGGACTCATCAGGGATCTTCCAAAGGCTGCTCTGAATAGTTTAAAATATCCACAATCTAGGAAGTCTCTCCTCCCCATCCTGCCTCAGCATCTGATAAGCACTGTTAGCACATCAGAATACATAATGGATATAGGCTTTGCTTTTTTGTTTTATTGTACCCCAAGCCACAATTCTACTGATAACTCTAATTCTGATTCCTCTGCATGGAAACCCATGAAGGATCACCAGGACAAGGCATCTGGTCACTATCAGATGAATGTCAGCTGTGCAAAGTTGCATGATTCTGTGTGTATTCAAAGGGAGAAGGATGCCACACACAGGAATCCCAACTCACAGATACTAAGACAAAAAGAAACTCCTTTTGCAAATCTATTCATCACATAGGAGAAAGCAAGTACACAGCAGAGATCATTTGCCTGGGAAATGAAGCACAGTATCCCAAACGAGATTCAGGAAACAGCCTCTTGGTTCTTCTGATCCAGACCCGACCTTGCCCCTAAATTCAAGGACAAAGCATTTTAGCTTCACAATAATGATATTGTTGACGGGGCTGACAGGTAAGGCCTGGGGAACCCAAATGACAAAGACATTATTAGGCAACTAACTACATCACTATGTACAAATACATACATCAATGAGAAAACTTCAGCTCTATCCCTGCAGCTACTTTAAACAAAGCACTGAAGATCCGGCTTTTTGAACAGGGCTATTTTAAAGTCTGTAGCAGTTTAAAACATTGCAACACTGGCACAATAACGTTACCTAGTCTTTGTTTTTAATTACAGGGTAACAGGTAAACTTCCACACGAGGTGGGGATGGAGGAGTGCAAAAGGAATCAGGAAAACAGAACCAGTACTTCACAAGAGGCCACGCCACAAAAGCAGCAGCAGCTAGTGCTTTGCAGAGTCTCGAGGGTAAAATTCGCTCAGGGTGCTCTGAGGGATTCTCTTCAGCATCTCTTTGGGGAAGATTCGGAGCAGCTGCCAGCCAATGTCCAAAGTCTCGTAGACAGTGCGGTTTTCATAGGGACCTTGAAAAATTGAGAGCATGAATTAATGAGAAAGTACTTCCCACTTATCAGTTTTACTCAGTACTTCTGTTGTGAGACTAGCAAGTAGCATGGCATAAAGTATAAGAAAACGCAGGTTAGGACTTTCAGGACTAGATGGGATTGAACAGAATGAGGGTATAAAAGTACCATAGGGAATCAGAGACAGGTTAGACTGTGAGCTGTCTAGCAGTCTTATGTGTGGTGGCTGACTTTGCCAGCTGAGTAGCACCCTTGAACAATGGAAACAACCCAGTGTTTGGCCCAGAGGTTAGCAGAAAAGCACTCTCTCTAGAACACAAGGCTCAGGCAGAAGAGAAGAGGCTTAATTTGAGGGAGACTAGTGCAGATGTTTAGAAAGCCTTAAGTGCCAATCAGTGACATGAGGACACTACAGGCCAATGTTTTTCAAAGTTGTTATTGTTATTACTATTATATTAATACAGCTCTGTAGCTGAGGCTGGCCTCCAACTCACAGTCCTACTGCCTCAGCCTCCTGAGTGCTCAGATTATAGGCATGCGCTGCCATGCCTGGCTATTATTATTTTTAATAGCAGAATCACCTTCATCCCCCAAATAAATCTTACTGTTCAACAAGGAATCAAGAATAGCTGGAGTTCTTTCTGGTTCCTTTCTCTGAAGAACTTTATTGTTTTTCTATTGTTGTTTTAAGGTACTGAGGTTCTGCATTAAAAAAAAAAACTCCAGCAAGGTTGGGGATGTAGCTCAGTGGATGAGCACTTGCACAGCATATGGGCAAGGCTCTGGGATCAATCCCCAACATGGTCAAAACTAATCATGTATATTTTGGGAATTTTAATATGAATAATGTATAGGTAGAAGAAAAGTGCACAAATCCTAAGTTTACCACTAGAGGCAAATTCAAAGAAATACTGTTACTATTTTAAGCACCACTGAGGTCAAGAGTAGAACATGGCTAGCATTAGCAGGGGTGACAAAGAACAGACCAGCAAAGTAGCCCAAAACTTCACATACACTAGAAACCCACTATGGGATCTTTAGTAGAGGACAATCAATAAAGTAACAAATTTATTGAGTCATGGAGAATGATGGAAAAGCTGGCTTGAATGACCAAGGATGATAGGACAAAGCTTTGCACTGGGGCCTTAAGACTCAGTGTGGTCAGAGAACAGCACAGCCTTAACATCATCCAGTGACTCCCTTGACATACACAATCTCTGGCCCCACCAAGATCTACTGAATCAGAACATAACCATCAGAATTATCAGAATATAACAAGATTCCCATTGATTCAAAAGCAAATCAAAATCTGAGAAATACTGGGCTAAAATTCTGTTAAGAAAACCACCCAGCTAATAAACAAGTCCCTGCCAGAGGCAGACAGAACTTGACCAGAAGTTACAAGGCAGGAAGTCCTCTGAGGGAAAAACCGTTTGATTCTGGTCTCACTGAGTCCAGGAGGATGGTGGCACAAACAATAGTATATCCCTACTGCAGGTGGTGATGTGAGAACTTCCAGGAGCAAGTCAAGCACCCACATCATAGTGAAGTCAATGCTGAGGCAGCATGGAAACCAAAGACAACTGAGCTTTTTGAAAGCTAAGGAGAATCAAGAAGAGGAGATGAAAACAGATGAATAAGAAAATTCCTAAGCCCCAAAGCCAAAGCCCACCGCCAAGAGGTTGTGAGAGGAAGAGCTCCTAAGGGGCAGCACAGCAGCAGGCTGGTGGGAGAGGGCTGAAGTGTGATGCAGCCAGGAAATGTAAATTGGCAGCTACGGCTGGATAATCCAGCCAGGACCCTCCTGAGGTGTTTAGAAGGCGGAGGGGAAGCCGGAGATTTAAAGCAAAGACATGGCAGGCAGTTGGAGAAACTTCGCCAATCAAAGGGAAACTAGAGCAACAATGTTAAATTCTCTCAGACTGGGAAGGAACAATTCAAAAGTATATGCAATGTTTACATTTGCAAGACAACAGCCAGCCGTCTTACCTGAGAAATAAAGTTCCTCTCAAACTTCTGCAGAAATTCCAGGTAAAGAAGATCATCCGAGGTAAGGGCTTCTTCTCCCACTACAGCTTTCATGGCTTGCACATCCTTGCCAATAGCATAGCAGGCATACTGGGAAGAAAGGCTTTATAAACTGAGGTCTGAGATACACAAATGCACTCTTTAAGACATCACAGAAGTACCACACAAACACAATTCACATAGAGCTCAAAGTATCAAAAGAACTTTATTCTCCCTCAGAAATGCAATGTACAGACATTACTAACACTCTAGAAAAATGTGGTTCCTCAGAATGTCAATAGCTTACTATTGACAGATCATATGAAAAACAGAACTCAATAGGGAAATTAATCTTGAGGATCCATTCAAGAAAAACCATTTCTGCTTCATGCCAAAAGTATTTTTCTTTGTTTTTGGTGTAGAATCTCCTTAACTACAGAAATCAGAAACTACAGTTGTGTTTACAGAATAAACACAACTGTGCCCTTCAGTGTTCTGGTGATTATCTAACAAATTAAGCAAAAATATGTCACAGTAAGGACACTCTTCTAATTATTATTAAAATGACCTTACTGCTTGTTTTTTTTTTATTTAAAAATTACTTTTATAAGCACCAAGTTCCAACCTTGGTGATTTTAATCTTCATTGTCAGCCTCTACCCTTTTGGGAGTAACTGGTTCAAGAAATAAATGACATATTTCATATTATGTCTACATTAAAACTCTACTTAGATGAAAAGAAGAAACATGGTGAGAGGAAAAGGAGGCAGGGCAGTGGAGAGAATGTACAGAGAAAGGCATTCACTGCCTGTGACTCATCTCAGAAGATCATACACACCAGTTGATTAGATACATCGGCGTGGTCCTTTCTGGTCATGCCTTCTCCAATGGCTGACTTCATTAGCCGGGAGAGTGAGGGCAGCACATTAATAGGTGGGTAAATCTTGGGTAGAACAGGAAGAAAAAAAGAACTATATTTATGTGAAAAATTCAAGCTTTCTTGCAGTGAAGATGCATTTGAAACACGCTATTACCCCTCAAACTACAAGGCTCTGCATTCGTTTCTTAGTGAACTCTAGTTTCTTCCTGGAAAGAAACAGTATTAAGAAACACTCATGGCATAGTATTTCTTTTGAGAATCAAATCCAAAAATGTGAAATACAAAAGCACTACGAAACTATTTTGAAAAAACTGTAATTTTCAACATCTGCCTGGTATCCACAGTATCCAGTCTAAATGGTCTTCTAAATTCTGACTCAAAAAAAATATACAAAATCAAAAAATTAATAATAATTCTGCTGAAAAGCTGACTTTAGAAGGAAGTACCTATTATAGAGCCATCAAAAATCTGCTTATTAATAACAAAACTGGCAGATCATAGCACTATGGCATAAAATACCCAAATGTTCTTTAAGACAATGGGCTCCATTTTAAAGCACAATGAAGAAAAGTGGTAATTTTAAATTTCTGCACTCTGGCCATATTAGAATTTTAATACACAGAAATGATAGTTTTATAGTCATATTAAAAACAATTCAAGTTGATACTTTCTAAGCAAAATAGCTCCCAGGAGCAAAATCTAAGTCACTGCAGAGTAACTGATGAGTGGTTCCCCAGCCCTCACAGCACTGCTCAAGTGTCTATACCTGTCTGTTATGCAGCTGTCTGTCCACATAGATCTGCCCCTCAGTAATATAACCCGTCAGGTCAGGAATGGGGTGGGTGATATCTGTCAGGGAAGACAGGGCGTTAAGCATGCGAACATCTGACATAACCAAACCCATAACAAGCCAATCTGTATTACCAAGCACTGTCTAGAAGAGTTACACAGAATAATTTTCTGTGATGGAAATGTTCTCTATCTGTGCTAACACAGGTAGCCTCTAGCCAAATGTGTCTATGGAAAACTTGAAATGTGGCTAACGAAACTGAAAAGCTTAATTTCAAATATTATCTAATTAACTTAAATACAGCCAATGTGCTTAGCAGATACCACATTAGACTATTTGATTATAGCAATTCAGATGTGCTGACACTATGAGGTAAACTGGCTGCTCATAAAATACAAACACACTCTTCCCCCTCTTTTTTTGAGACAGGGTCTTGCTATGCAGCCCATACTTGCCTGGAATTTGTACCCTCCCGTCTCAGACTCCTAAATGCTTGGATTACAGGTATGTATCACCATGGCTGGCTTAAAAATTCCATTTTAAGCAAAAAGTTCCCTTCAACTTTGTATACTGTCAACTTTATGTATACTGACAGAACATTCTTAGTCCACAAACTATCTCAGCTGGATATGCAACACTTCACTATGTAAAAATGGTTTTTAGAAGGGCTGGTGGAGTAGATAAAGTGGAAGAGCGCCTGCCTAGTAAGCGTGAAGCCGAGTTCAAATCCCAGTGCCATCAAAAAAAAAAAGGTTTTTAGAAGTTGAAATAAAGACAAAATGGCACCATTATACAAGGAATTGTGAACAGTTCAAGAGCCACCCTGAGCACACTCTTAAGGACGAGTGTCACACTGTGCACTACACAGGAAAGAAAGCTATTTCTCAGAAGCCTTGGGTTAAAAGCAACTGTCTCTAAGGTTTTGGGCCTGACTGCCTGCACTCTGAATACTTAACATAAACTATCTTAATTAAGTTATTGGTTCATATGTAAGAAAACATGCCCACCTAGGCTTAGTATCTTCTATTAACTAGAGATCATAAAATTTTTGTATCTGTAAAAGTGCCCTGCAAACAGTACTCAATAGACCTAATAAAATGAAAACTTTAAATTCAAATTACAAAAAAATCTGCTTTTCTTATACAAAACGGTAACAAATAACTAGTGAAGGAACACTCTTCTAGAGGATAAGCTCTCTAAGGAATTTCAATTTGAGAAGGTAGGTAGTCTGTTTTAGAATCGAAGCCTTTACAATGATCACACCTGCTACAATCCAAAAGCTCAAAACTTACCATCATTGGGCATGGTGAGAATAGGGATTTGAGTGATAGAGCCATTTCTACCTTCCACTCGACCAGCACGTTCATATATCGTGGCTAAATCTGTATACATATAGCCTGGGAAACCTCGTCTACCAGGGACTTCTTCCCTGGCTGCTGAAACCTGACAGTAAGCCAAAGAGAAGAGTTTATCAGCAGCCAGAATATAAAAGATAGAAGTTCACTTAAAACATGCTGTTTACGTGAATATGCCAAATACAAAGTTCAAAATCCCATCCTGTTTGTTTTAAATACTGTCTTAAAGTGATGACTGAGAAAAACCCACTGAAACATAAATTCCCCTTATTTTGCAGCAAAAATGTTGAAACCTGGGAATCAGAATTTGTCAAAGTGACACTGCCATAATGTAAATCTTCAAATACTTAGAAGAGAAGCAGGATGCCATTTTATAAATCAAAAGAAGTTAATTCTAAAACTAAAATTTTCAGTTCCTAAGATTTACTTCAAGCTGTTGAACTAGCCAGTTTTATCTAAACTAATCCCAAAAAGATCAAAAGGGAAGAAAACATATGCCAGGAGTCACTTGTTACAGCTGATAAATTATTTACTCTTCACAACAACAGGAAGGTTGTTATTCCCAATGTATAGTTGAACCAAGGGTCAGATAAATAGGTCTCAAGATCAAAGGCCAGAAGTCTACTCCATGGCACAAAAATAGTAGTAGTAATAATAAGAGCAGTAACAACGGTCTTCTTCTGAGCAACAGACATACTGACATACAGGCATACATATTAACCTACAATCACAGGAACCCTAGATCATCACCACTGTGCTCAGCAGTGCTACTTAAAGAGGTCTGTAGACCAGTGGCTATCAGTATTCAACAAGGCAACAGAGAAAGCAAGAGAAGCAGTTAGAACTTGCATGGCAATTTGGCAGAATGGTTTTATGTGTTTAATCTAGCAATAATAATAAAGTCTGGATTCATAAATTATTTATCTTTTTTGAAAAATTTCCCTTTTCTGATAGCTCATTTTTGTAATCTTTTTTACAGTGAAAGGAATGATTCTAGTTCTTTACCAGTTAGGCTGAAATACACTAGAATAGAGCTTGACACACTGATGACCTCAGGAAATTTTTAAAAAGTAGATATTTATACAACGTATTTCTTCAGAAGTCTTTTCCCTTTTTATAGGAAAAGAAAACATTCCTAAAAACATTAATAACCTATATTAGAACAAACACCCCAAGCATGTGGGTGGTAAGTGTCTTAACAATGTTTCTAAATAAATGTTTGATTTCCGAAGAAAAAAGTTCCAAAGACGGGCATGCCAGACTATTATTTAAATATTACCATCATTAAAAACAGAATTCTGAAAAGGGTTAAAAACTGACAGAGTGGACAGACAGAACTTCCTGGGAGAGTAACTGAGTGAACACCTTATAGTATTTACTCTTTCACACTCAGTTCCTAATTCATGCAGACAGTGACAGTGCAGTAATAATTCTGATCTCATCTTCTAACATTTCTGTCAAATTGACAGAACAAAATTATATTGTTCTTTCTGACTGAGGTACTCTACTAATAAATACGCAATGTGCTTAAAACATGAGTAAAGAAAAAATGGGAATTTTAAATGGTCAAGATAATCCTGAAAATTAACCCATTTTGTGTATGGGGGAAAAAAAGTTACCTCTCGAAGTGCTTCAGCATAAGAACTCATGTCAGTCAGGATAACCAGTACGTGCTTTTCACACTGGTAAGCCAGAAACTCGGCTGTGGTCAGAGCCAGGCGAGGAGTAATGATTCGTTCAATACTGAAAGGGAAAGCAACTCCAAGTCATTCAAACCAAAATAACTCCAGAAATAAGAGTGCACTTTGCCTCTTTATTTTTAATAATTGAGGCAAGTAAAGCAATTGTTACATTGAAAATTCCTAAGTAAGGCAGTTTTTTGTGTATTCACATAATAAGAATTGCTGAATGCTACAAAGCTGATTATTTCATCAATGCCCCCAAATTTCTCAGTATGCTACAGGGTTCTCAAATCTGGGTGATGAAAAAAAGAAAGGAGAGAAGAAACAGGAGTCACATTTGTCAGGTAAGAAGAAGTTATCTAAGTGTATCAATTATGTGCTGATTCATATATATCTGATCTCACTTAATGTGGACAACCACCTGTGAGACAAGTATTTGTCACATCTTATGAGCTTCGGAGTCTTAAGTAATTTACCAAAGCCAAAAAATTCCCAAGAAACAGGGCTGGAATTTAAATACAGGGTTACCTCATCCCTACATAGAAATTATAGTTTTCCTCCCTCACTCAGGTAACACTTTTCAACCTCAGCCTGCAGAAACAGAAGAAATGGCTCTCTTTACTTACGTTGGATCATTGGCCAGGTTCAAAAAGAGGCAGACATTGTCCATCGAGCCATTTTCTTCAAAGTCAGATTTGAAGAATCGGGCAGTTTCCATGTTTACCTAAATAGAAGTGACTTCATCAGTGCTGGAAGAAAAACTCTCAACATTTATTTCTGATGAAGGCCAAGCTATGGATCTAAACTGTTCCTTCTTTTAAAATTTCGAATACCCAAAAAATTTTCACAAAAGTCAACAAGAGGAATGTGCTTTGGGCATGAAAATATTATTCTTAAATTTCATCAAATCTTAAATTTCAAGATGCAACTTCTCTATCCAAAGGTGGAGTCAACTATGAATGTGTAGTTCACGCCACTGCTGTAATAATGCAGCACCTAGTGTTATGCCATGCCAGCAAAGAGCAAGTTTATACTTACACCCATAGCAGCAAATACAATTGCAAAATTTTCTTCACTGTAATCCACTACATCTTTGGATTTCTTTACCAAACCAGCCTGGCGACAGATTTGAGCTGCAATCTGATGAGGATTAAAAGAACTAGAGTTGAAAACTACAGTAACATTTCTACTACAAAGTAACTTTTATCCTTTTACAACTTACTTAACAAAACTATTTTGCAATTTTTACAAAGATACATAAATGTTAATAAAACAGAAATGCATGGATAAAGATTCAGTGTAACAAGATTACACCAAAACAGTACTGGGCATTTACCTGGTTTCTTAATAACACTGACACATTTAGAAATCAAACACCCAGTTCTCACCTCATTGTGTGGCAACCCTGCAGCAGAGAAGATCGGAATTTTCTGCCCCCTGGCAATACTGTTCATGCCATCGATGGCAGAAATGCCAGTCTGGATCATCTCCTCTGGGTAGATTCGACACTGAGGATTTATTGGCTGGCCTAATGTATTTCCAAAAGGGAAAACATAGTATGTCTTTATATTTCAAATCAAATTAAACAACAAAACATTATACAACCAGAACTGTATATAAAGCATTTCGGTCTACTCTTAAAAAATCAGTTATTTTTAAAATCTGAAACTTGAAACAATTTTTTCCTTTAGTCCTTTGTAAACTCACAAAACATATAGTAGTAGAACTCAAGTTCCTAAAGTAAAATAAATGTTTAACAAGAAAGAAATCCTAATTTCAAAGCCATGGTTCTACTATAAACATTCAGATTTGCTCTAGTAGTATTTTACTTTATGTAAAATATTACATAAAGTTTTGAAAGGAAAAATTTCTAGGACAAATTAATTATTAAATGAATAAAATAACTGCATAATTTATAACCTAAGGAGAACACTGGTTATTTACGTAAAATGACACTACAAAAACCATGCTCTATATGGCAAAGCTACCAGACAGACAGAGGCTATTTCCTCTTGAACACAGAAATCCATTTACTGCCCTTACCCATAATGTCAAGAAAGTCTTCAGCCAGTACCACAGGACCTCTGTCAATGGGTTTTCCTGATCCATTGAATACCCGACCTGCAGAACAGTCACGAGAGTACAGAGGAGACCTTGACTTCCAAATATTCATAGTATCTTAGAGTTTATGGAAATATGTTCAAAAGGAAACAGATTTCTGCTCAGAATGAATAGTCGTGCCCATTTACCAAGCATATCCTCAGACACTGGTGTTCGGAGAATATCCCCAGTAAACTCACAGGACGTTTTCTTGGCATCTATACCTGACGTCCCCTCAAATACCTGTACCAAGAAAGAGAATTAATCAGAAGGTGAAAGAAATTCAGATCATGAATACTTACTAGTCTAAGGGTCCTGCTTCAAGTCAAATGCTACAAGCAAGCTAAGAATGCTTTTTACACACTTATAAAGGATTGTGGAAAGAAAAACAAATGAAAATGAAAGAACAAAAGAAAGATGAGCTAGAGGAGAAGGAATGTCTCAGTTGGTAGAGAACCTGCCTACCAAGTACAAGTACCACCTAAGTACCACCAAAAAAAGAGAAAGAAAACTAAAGTCTAAAATATTTACTGCCTGGCTACTTACAGACATTTACAAACTCCTATTCTAGACTATTTTTAGAGAATGTGCTATTTGAGGAAATGGTCCTTTGCCATAATCAGATAACACTGGAAACCAGAAACTTTTAGAGGCAATTTAAAGGAACTAACTCACATATCATTTTGTCTTCATCCAGTTATCAGTGAATTCTGCTTTTCATCTCTTCCTTTGATGTGACTCCTTATACGTTTGTGAACAGCTCAATTGGCCAGGTTTTGAAAGTGACACTTACCTGAACTACTGCTTTGGAACCACTAACTTCTAGAACTTGCCCACTTCTCTTTGTGCCATCTGGTAATGTCAGGTGGACAATTTCAGCATATCTGGGAAACTAAAGAGGAACAAAAGTTCAATAACCAACATTTCAAAAGCTCCCCCAAACTACTCTATCTGCTAACTCTTCTATGACACACATTGCCTGTGCAATCCTCCCACCTCCTGACACATACAGGTTTAAGCTGTGAGTTTATAATATCCTTAGAGAATCATGAGTTCTTACAACCCACATCCCTGATACATATACTGGTAAGCATGGCATAAAGTCCAGAATGGTCTTAAATCCATGAAAACATGGCAATTAACTTAATTGCTTTGCTTCTGTGTGCATGGGGTTTTTTTTCTTTGTGGCAATACTGGGATTGCATGTTTTAAAGTTTTGAAACTACAGGAAGGTATAAAAATTAGACATGTATCCATCATTCAGAACCAGTATTTACTTACTTGCTGGATTATGTATGTATAAATATATGTGCTACATGACAGAAGAATAAAATATTACCAAATAATAGTTACTATTATAATAATATTCAACTGTCTTAATCTAATTCTTCAAACCAAGTGTTTTTCTCTAAATTTAAAAATACAAAAATATAATAATCTATTAACATGGTAACATACTAAGTATGTCTTTCTGCAACTTGCTTCTTTACTTGACCTTATATTTAAGGTAGTATACTGTCAAAATATGTCAACATGATTTACTGAAAGATACATCCTTATTTAGTGTAATATAGGAAAAATGCTAATTAAACTATTGTGTGCTAGTGATTATAAGACCTTTGGGCTTTGGAGATGTTAAAATGTCAATAGTCCCAGTGTGGTGATTCACATCTATAATCCTAGCTGAGGAAGGCTGAGATAGGAAGATCTTGAGTTTCAGGTCAGCCTGGGCTATATAGCAAGACTGTTTCTCAAAAATAAATTAAAAAATTTTTTAAGAGAGTGAATTTAATGGGCCTTTTAGAATGGGCTGCACACAGGCTGCACCCACTTTCTGCCCAATTACTCTGCTAGTACTACATTAACATACCTTTGCCAATCTTGTATTTTCTTATTCATTAATAGGCATTTTATTGAGTCTGGATATTAATCCTTTTGCAAATATCTTCTCCTAGCCTGTTTCAGTGGTCCAATTTACGACTTTGGTGTCTTGATTAGGAAAACCCTCTACCTGAAGTCATAAGAAGTCTTTAACATTGTCTTCTAATAGGCTTATGTTTCATTTTAAGCCCTTAATCCAACTGGATTTGGTATCTAATTTTCTCATTTTTATTATTTTTCAGATGAGAAATAAAATTCCCCAACAACATTCTGTCAAGGCCTCATAATTTACCAAGTCAAAAAATCTCATTTGTGCTGGGTATGGTAGCCCACACCTATAATCCCAGCACTTGGGAGGCTGAATTTGAGGCCATCCTGGCCTACAGATTAAGACCCTGTCTCAAAAAACAAAGCAAAATGAAATATTATGTGTGACATTGTGGTTTGGGGACTTTTAAATTTTTTTCCACTGATATTGTTATTCCTCCATCAAATTCCCATGATCAGTTACTCCACCTTTACTCTTCATTAAAATTAAGTGGAATCATTCAAAATAAGTGGAATCTCTACTGATTTGAAGTCTTCTTTCTTGGTCTTTCAATAGAATTTTATAGCTTTCTATAAACAGTTACTTCTAGCATGTAACACAACCAATTTCCATATGCAGCAACTCTGTTTCAAACAGTGTGGCAGTGAACGACTTGGGTTTCTGAGTAATCACAGTGTCAAGAAATGATAATAGCTGGTCCCTTTCTAATCCCTTGAGATTTGTGCTGAGTCTCAAGTATGCCGCTTGTTGTCGGTGAAATTTTGTGAAGAAGTTAAGATCTGTTCCTTACTTTCTAAGACATGTCCTTTCTTAATGAAATGAGTACTTGTATCAGATACTTTTTCTGTATTTACTGATAAGAGGATAAACCCTTTCTAGTTTAATCCATGAAAATGCTGAATTACACTGATATATTTTCTAACATGAGGGTTCATCAGTCTGCAGACTAGTATGAAACTGTGGCATGGAAGTAAATTTGCTAGGTTTAATCTCAATATTTGTAAAAGCTCCTTGTCATACACAAAAATATTATTTTAGTGAGAAAGCTGAAGAGATAATGCACTTTGCCCTTTATTCTGATAAACCTCTCATTTTTTTTGCTTTGAGAGGGGGGTCACATGCTGAAGATACACTTACCACCCGTGTCTGTCATGCTAGTAACCGTGTGCCTCGCTCCCAATCCATTCCAGTAACAACTATGCAGAACCACCATTCCAGAAAGCTCATTATATAAATTACTTTCTCTGACAACATTTTGTTCACATAGCTTGAATAGGAAGCTTAGCTCAGGGTATTCAATGACAAACTGCATTCTATGCCTTGCTTTCTCAGATAATAAGGGTTTATATAATTTTTAAATATACATAAAAAACATGTTAACTAAAGTTACAATGTACAAACTATTCTTTGCTTTAGAGTTTTAGTTAGTATTAAGATAATCTGTTCTTATGTATTCATTACTTGAACACCAATGTCAGGCTCTCATACACAAAAAGTTAATGTTTATTTACTCAAGAACTTAACATTTAGTAGAGAAAATAAGACAAATACTATAAAAATAACATAGGGCAGTCTACAACAAGGGACATAAAATATCATTTATCTGTATAGAATCCTACAGTTATAAAACACTCATAAATATTATTGCTGGTTTTTCTCCTAATAAACATTAAGTAGGTTTTTTGGTTTTTTTTCAATCATGCAGGGCACAAACAGAATCTACTCTAGTTCCAGTCTTCTAACTTTTGGTCTCAAATTTTTGTTTAGTATATAAGCACTGACATTCACACCACAGAGTGGCTTAAAATTCATAACAAAAATTTGAAGTGTACCGAGCAGGACTTAGTATCACAATTTTAAGTACAACGATAGACTGCAACAAATAGTGGAATTACCTTCACATGATCTAAGATCACTAGTGGACCATTCACTCCTGATACTGTCTTGTATGCTGGAAGAAACAAGAAGAGTCAGCTTTAGTCAAAGAGCACAAGAGCCTACATTACCTCTCAGATAGCATCCAAAACCTCTCTCTATTTTACCCACCTATTATAACATGCAACACTCAGATAGGTACACAAATTTTCAATGAATTTGTAAAAAAATGACTGTTCCTGCACAAATTCCATAACCCATCTTCAACTAAAGATTTAAATTTTACTATGAGTTAGTTATTGTTCACAGTACCCAGGACACAAAAACAAGTCAGAGAAGTTGTCTTACTTTAAAAATTCAGTTCTCTAAATAAGTACATGAATAAAATAAAAGGTCAGGGGCATAGCTCAAGTGGTAGAGTGTTTGCTTAGCATGAGAAAGGTCCTGGGTTCAAGCCACAGCACCACAACAAACAAACAAACTAAAACAACTTATAAAAGTTCAGTTCTCATGTGAGGAGGGGTATTTCAATTTGATGTGAGTAGGGCTATATTCCTGGGAGCACAGTTAAAACAGAGTAATAATTTCTACCTTGAAGAGAAAAGGAAAACTGTAGAGGAGGTAACACTCAGCTAAGTAGATGAAAAAGGGAAAGCAAATCCTTAACAACTTTAGGCAGAAGAGACAAAACTCACAAAGGGCATCTGAGAAAATGTAGCCTTGTAAGGTAAAGCCATGATGAAATGATTTCAAATTCTCTTTAAAAAAAAAAAAAGCTATCAAAAACTATGGGAAAAGAGCTTGTGATGGAGGAATGGGCAAAAGAACAAAAGGCCAGGGGTCAATTAAGGTAAGAAAAGTATTCTCAAAAAACAAAGTCAGCGGGGAGCAACGGCCTGATCTGTAAGCCCAGCTACATACAGGCTTAGGCTGAGGATGGCTAGTTTGAGGCCGGTATGGGCTACATAGAAGGACTTGGTCTCAGAAAGGGTGAAAACAGAGGTCAAATGTTGAGGTCAGGTTAAAGAGAGTGATAGGTAGGAGAGAAAAGAATTCACTAAATTTCATAATCCGAACAGCTAAAAAATACATGAGATAAATTTTTGAAGAAAATGGGCTGGTGGAGTAGCTCAAGTGATAGAGTGCTTGCCTAGTAAGCATGAGGTCCTGAATTCAAACCCCAGAAAACACCAAAAAAATTTTTTTGTAAGACAACATATTATAAAGCCTGAAATAATTTATATGAAGCTGTTAACTGATTAGGAATTTTTAACTTGCTTAATTTCTTTTGAGATCTTCTAATGAGTTTGGACAGAGATTCCTGGCACAAATATGAACTCCCAAGAATGAGAAAACCATGTAACAAGCTGTCTGCTCACTCAAGGGGCTTCAGAATTTAAAACCACAGTTCCTTCAACCCAAGGCCAAGAAGCAAGTTTCCTGACACAAACACTGGGACAGAGCAGACAAGTACTATTAGGAACCCTATCTTTCATATTAATAGACATTTAAATCCATATATCAAGTATTTGCTAGAATATGTCAGTAACTATAACAGTCTCAATAGAGGTGACTGTTTTTTTACACCTTAGATAAAGGCAAGTCCCAAGTAGAAAAAGTAAACTACCTAAATAGATGGTAATCCCCTCAAGATGTGTTACATTTTCAGCAACTTTTAGGAAAACCCTCCCCATTGTTTTAAAAATAATTTAGTACTGTTTAAAAAACTGTAATTCCAAACTTTAAAAAATTTTTTCCTTGTTCTCATTTTAAGGCTCCAAACATTCTGTTTCTCAATGACTTTCTAAAATTGCTATGTGGAAAACACATCTACTTGAAACCCAGTTTTTAAAAATATAAAAACACAAACCTTTTCAAAACCTTTACCTAAGCAGTGGGGCATAAGGAAAGAATCTAGTTTTAAGATTTATAAGAAACTCTGTCTCCAATAAACCACATCATTAAAATCCCTCAAATTCTTAAAGTTCTTTTTTTGTCCAACAAAACAGTATCTTCTTTGAATTTCTAATCTCCACAACAACCATGCTTCAGAATCTCATGCTCAAAATCAAACTCATGCCTAACTATGAAGTTTTGCCAGTCACAAGCAAAAAGTATGACCAAGAAAAAGAACCATTAGTCATGGCTTTTCCTGGAAACAGTGAATGGAGCTGACCTCCACTATAGAAGATTCCAATTCATCAAAAGAGCCTCTCTAAACAGGTTTTGAAAGCCAGTAAGAAAACCCTGTACGTCTAACTGATTAAACGTCAATACCAAGACACATCTAATGAGTGGCTGCCATTGTATCTCTGTAACACAACTCTCAGTTAGCTATTATTCCAAGCTTTAGAAGAGAAAAATTATTCTCAGAGAAATTAAGTAACTTGTTAAAGGATTTGAACCTCCAGTCTGGCTCTAGTCATTTGTTCTCTAATTCTTTTGCAGCCTTAATTCTAAAATCGACCTGGGGTCACTTTTTGTTTTTGTGCTAAGGTACTTTCTAGCACTTACCTGCAAGAATTATGTAATGATGCTACCTAAAATAATTTCAACAACTTACAATTTTATCTATGAAAACGGCAAATTTTTATTATTTAACATACACGTGGTATTCTCTTATGTCCGTATTTTGTTGTTACTGCATAGCCATCTTTCTTCAGAGGGGATGAAGCTACTAAAAAGAATATAAGCAGAAATGAACAGGGATGGAGATGCCACAGCTTTCCTGACAGCGATCATGAAAAGCATGAGAAGACCGCTTCTGGTACAAATCACAGGTAAAACGGGTTGAAGTTAAACTAACATGTGGAAACTAAGTTAATTGTAAGTAAACACCAGCAAGCTTTATACTTGGAGAGCACACACTTGAAGAGCATGCCATGCTTTTACAGAGCATTTGCAGCTGGATTATCTGATTTTGTCTTTACAAAACCTTGTGAGGTGAGCAAGGCTGATACAACCTTACTTTACACTTAAGGAAACTACAGTCCAGAGGAATTTGTTATGAATGGAGAAGCCAGGCTTATTAAAAGTTTTGTTTTGTTTTTCTTTCATTTCAAGGTTGCTACTCTGATCCTCTAACAGCATAATTTAAAAATGAGGCCATCACACAGTTTCTAGCACTTGGGCTACAGGGAGGTAGTAGAAGACAGTTTAAATACAAACTGCAGCTCTTTCCATGGCAATAAAACTATCTGCAAAGAAAATGGTGTCAAACACTACCTTTTATCCCTGAACAATATTCATCCAGCCTTCCACTACTTCTACATTACTACTACATTACTACTAACACTCTGAAACAGACATGCCAGGTAATAGGTATAGTTCGCCTGTCATTAAGAGCAGCAGTAAGTTGCTGTTTAAGAGAGTCAAAACCCATTCACAATTATTCTATTTATCAAAATCACTGTTCTCTTGAAAACATTCACAAGAACTTGCGTACAGAGGTATGTGAAGAGAGGATTATCAGAATGCTGACAATACAGAAGACACCTACTTACTTTACATACTTTTGGGAGGGAGATGGTACTGGGATTTGAACACAGGCCTCCCACTTGCCAGGCCTCAAACTCTACCACTTGGAGCCACTCCGCCAGCCCCCTTATATTACATACTTAAACACATTTTACAACCAAAAAGTCACATCTTTGATTCTGAACCACTGAGCAGGTAACAAATATTCATGGAGTAACACTTAAAAACCAAAACCAATATATTAAGACTTGAGGAGTACATTATTTTGTCAAATGACACCCCCTTCCTCCTGCAGAGTAAGAGATTGTTCAACATGACACCCTTAATGATTGTGACACATTTAAAGAAAAAAGTCCAGAGCCGTTGCACAATAAGTCCTAGCCCTTTAGGTTCCACCTTAACAGCAAAACAAAAACTGAGAAAGCAATCACCTTCTATTGTGCAAGAAGAGTTAGCGGCCTAACCCTGAGCAGTGAGTACCTGAGAGTTCTTGAAAAAAGCAAGCAGAAGACTCCTTGATTTTTTGGTGGGGCTAGCTTTATGATGTAAGAAACTTATGGCTAGTTCATTTAGGATATCAAAAAAAAAAAAAATGGAAATCATCAAACTCAAAACATTTAGCAGTTAAGAGCTCTATGAATATTATTGAACCTTGCTCGAGGTTTAAAAGCACACCTTTTTCTTTCCAGGTGATCTTAGGAAATCAAGAAAACTGTTTCAAGATTATTAATTTCAAACCTGAGTATCTTTTTTTTTGGGGGGTGGGGGGGAGGGGTGGTAATGTGCATTGAACTCAGGGCTTTGTGCTTTTAGGCAGGTGCTCTACCAGTTCAAGCCCCAATAGCCTACTTTCCATTTCTTTTTAACAGCTCCATAATCTCAAAGTTGTTTTTAAACAGAATCTAATTTGTACAATGTAACTGCCAATACTACTCTATTCCATCATTCAAAAAGCACACCTTAACTATAATTACTTATCACCTTAGATGTATCATCAACCTTTAATTTCAAAACTTAAGATAGTTATCAATATTTAATCAGAAGCTATTAAAGCTGTTAACTAGAATAAAAATGTAGCAAAATAGGAAAATTATGTTAGTTGTTAGCCATTCATACTTTTCAGAAGGGAAATTCAATTCAATCAGGTAGTGTAGCTCCCCACTTTCATTCCATCCATATTAAGAAACTACATTCTAAACTATTAGAACAAGGAGTTAAAAGGCATGCTATACAAGAATTACAAGACACTTGTGTCAGGCTCTGTGAGAGGCATGGGGATACAGTACAGATCCCCAACTTCTACAGGCTTCATTTTAAGCACAATACTTCAAGTGCTGTCAGCAGGAATCTGATCCCAGAGAAATCTTCAGCCGTGGGCTAACCACACACAAAACGTGCAGAATCCATACTAATCTCCCTATATGGCTTACAACATTAATCATACTTCAGTTGATACTCTCAATTGACACTGAATGAGTAATTACACAGAAATTGACTATTGTATCCTGATAACCTTTTTCTATGGACAACATTAATGTCTATCTGTTCTGCCCAAAGCAAAGCACACAAATACACTTCATAAGATTAATTTATTAAACATTATAAATTTATTGTCAAGGTTCACATAAGAATGCAACATCTGTCAATTTCTTAAACATTTACTTCAGCTCACAAAGCCCCTCAACAGGCTTTAATGCAAACAATTCCCAGTGTAAAACGCATATCTCAGCAATCCACAGGCTCCGATGTGTTTTCCTTCTTCCTCACTCTGCAGTGCTATCACATGACCCAGTGACAGATCAGTATGGGATTAGTCAGGCTGGAGAGCACCGCACTAAAACCCTTCATCTGAAATTCTTTTTAACCAATGAGCCACCCACAGACAGACAAGCTGGCAATTACCCAGTGCAAACGCAGTCTCGATACCCGGGGAAGCACCAGAATATTTTTGCCAAGCTGTTTTTTTTTTTAAACTCCATTCCCAGGGTTCATCCCCAGTTCTTAAGGAAGCCGTGAAGAGATCTGATGCTACACAACTGAAACCTTTCTTTAGTAATTAACTATTTTTATTCGAACTGCTGTTCTGTCTACTTAAACCTGGTTGATTAAGGCCTTTTATAATCACATCACTTAAGTCTACGTATGTATGTTCAATGCTGGCAAAGCTCCTTGGCTTTGCCAAAGAACCTTGCACTTACTCAAGTTTGTTAACTGTTCAGTAAATGAAGAAGCAACGCTGAGAAAGGCCCAGCAAGAACTAAGAAACCTCGATTTTTGGTTGCTGATCTGCCAATGTCTGAAGCCTGGCAGGTCCGGTCCTTCCTAGAACCTTAGGCTTCTCACCTGTAAAGCGAGAGGGTTGGACTGGATGACACGCAGGGTACTTTTCAGCTCTAGGGTTCCCTGGTGTCTAGGTGTCCTGCTAGGAAGCGGTCCCCTCCGCCCTGCAAGCCGCATCTCCCTCTAGCTGCGGGCCTGACCACGTCAGCGATGGCACCGCAGGGTCCGCACCGTCTGTCCGTCCGACCGTCTGTCAGTCCATCCGCCCTCATCAGGCGCGTGCGACCCGCCCCGAGGTCCCCGCCAGCTGGAGAGGATGGGGAGGGGCGCTCCCCCGACCCCCCCAGGCGTTCGAATGAAGCCATACGATAGAGATCCGAGTGACAAGAAGTGACCCTTAAGAGACGCCCAGTGCCTGGGAACTTCGAGAGGGCGGAGCAATGGCCAGGAGCCCCCCAACCCCAGGGAAAGTTCCCGAGGATGCTCTTGCCCCGGTCTCCCCCATGTTACAAAAATGTAAAGCACACGCAGATCTCCCAGAGACACTGGTGGTGGTGGTGGGGATGGGGACGCGGCAGGAGAAAGTAAATCCCACCCCACGACCGCCGGCTAAGCAGGTGAGTGGGAGCAAAGGGCAAGGCTAAGAAGCAAAGACGGCATGTCCCCGGCTTTGATACTCACTGAGGCGAGGCTGGGAGAGGTAGTTACGGCCAACTGCCAGCGCCTGCTCCCGCGCTCCCGCCACCGGCCCACTGGTGGACACGGGTAGCTCGGGTGCGGCCCCGTTCACAATCCCCCGCATCGCCCGCAGCGCCATCTTGTCTCCTCCGTCCCGACTGGCCCGGCAGCCGAGCCGCGCAGGCGCAGATATACGAGGGCGGCCCGCGCTCCCAGCCCCGCCCATGCGCGCCGCGGCGCTGCGGCCTGGCTCCGCCCCCTTCGCGGCTCCCCGCCCCCAGCCTCGTGACTCAGGCTCGGCGTGGGCGGGGCTGAGCGCGCGCAGGGGAGAGGAGCTGACCAGAGTGCTGGGAGGGCGGGCTTGGAGCCAAGCAAGGGAAAAAAGGGGAAGCAAAAGAGGCCCCGGTGGGAAGCGAAAGACCAGAAAGAGCAGTTGAGGAGAGGGAGGAAGTAGGCAAACATACGAGACAAGGTCAAATGCCAGACACCGGTGGCTCATGTCTGTAATCCGAGCTACTTGGGAGGCTGACATCCAGGAGACCAGCTGGGGCAAACAGTTCTGGAGACCCGATCTCCAAAATAACCAAAGCAAAATGGACTGGAGGCTTGGCTCAACTGGTAAAGTACCTGCTTTGCAAGCATGAAGATCTGAGTTCAAATCCCAGTCCAAGCAAAAGAAGAAAAGGTCAATTGATATCCAATAGTGACCTTCCTTTAGGAAGAGAACTCAAGCTATGAAAACCGTGTTGAGAAGAAATCTAAAACCTACTGGCATAGTAGTGACTTTGTATGGTAATTTGCTTCACTTTACTATCTTTCTATACAATTCACTCACTCTTGTATCCATTCAACAAACATATATTAATTTTGTTTTAAGGTGTGGCTAAATGTGTGAAAGACAAATAGGAACAGATTTTTAAGCTATTTAACAGATGGAACTGGGCTGTGAGTGTGGCTCAAGTGGTAGAGCACCTGCTTAGCAAGCACAAGACCCTGAGTTCAAACCCCAGAACTACCACCACCAAAAAAAAACCAAAAACCAAAAAATAGATGGAACTAAAGGTGACTAGCTAGCTGTGGATGATGACTACCAGACCTGATAGAGCAGCAAATGGATTGTAGTGCTGTTTACAGAATGAGAACACAGAAGGAAGAGAGAAATTTTGGGAAAGGAAAAGAAAAACTATTTAGTTCTGGATTTTTAAGCTTCTGTGTATTCTAAAAACCCAAGAAGATACATGGACCGAACTGAAATAAGATTTGTGATTTACCATCAAATTGGTAATGTGGAGATAAAAGAGACAAACCAAAGCATGCGCACGGAGTGGGAAGATGATCAAGGTCATGTACAGATGAAGAGTATCTTGCAGTTAAACCTGAAATGTCTTCAGAGATGGTGAGAACCTAGCACACGAGTCCCAGAAGCCAAAAGAAGAGGAAATTGTGGAAGAGCACCTGCCTCACCAAACGAGGCCCTGAGTTCAAATGAGAGAGAGAGAGAAAGAGAGATGGGGGAAGAAAAGAGGGAGAGTAGTGGTATACAGGTTGAATCCTAACCCAAAAATCCAAACTCCAAAATACTCCAGAATCCAAAAGTTTTGCATCCCAACGTGAAAATTCAATATCATGAAAGTTTGTTTCATGAACAAAATTAATATAAATATTGTATAAAATTACCTTCAGAGCTGGGCTTGGGGGTCCACATATTTGTAATCCCAGCACACAGAAGGTTGAGGAAGGGAATGGAGAATTCAAGGCCAGCCTAGACTACATCACAAGACCCTGTTCCAAAAAATTTTTTCTTCAGCCTATGTGTATAAGGTATATGTGAGACATAAAGGAATTTTGTGTTAGACTTGGGTCCCACCCCCAAGATCTCATTATGTATATGAAAATACTACAAAACCCAAAAGAATCTGAAATCCAAAACACTTCTGGTTTCAAGCACTTCAGATAAGAATGATAAGTTAACTGGCTAGGCACCAGTGGCTCATGCCTATAAGCCTAACTACTCAAGAGGCAGAGATCAGGATGACTGAGGTTCAAAACCAGTCCCAGCAAAAAGTGTGAGAAACCCTACCTTGAAAATACCCTACACAAAACAGGGCTGACAGAGTGGCTCAAGTGGTAGAGCGCCTGCAATGTCAAGCATGACACCCTGAGTTCAAACCCCAGTACCATAAAAATAAATTAATGAAATAAAATAAAAGTCAACTGGTATTACAGGGTCTCACTTTGCAGCCCGGGCTGGCCTTGAACTTGTAATCCTCCTGCCTTAGCCTCCTGAGGACTGGGATTATAGGCATGAACCATCATGCCCTGCTGGAAGCAAGCATTGTTCAATGATGTGTAAGACTGAGCATCATTTAGTATGTTTTCTTATTTATCAAACATTACTATTATCATATATTATTATTAACAAAACAATATGAGATACCACTTTGTTTTAATTTATAAGACCAAGTGAATTTTTTAAGTTTAATGTCTCAAGTTGTAATATAAAGGAGCAGGGATGTTCATACTTTATTGGTAAAAGTATAATTAGTATAATTTCAGAAGAGCAATTTGATAGTCGCATATCCCCAGAGTATCATCCAGGGACAAGGGATAACATGGTATCAAGGTTAAGAGGCGTGGATTCTGGAGCCAGAGTCCTGATTTTATTGGTTCTATAACCTTGAACAAAAACTTATTCTAGTTCTCATTTTTCTCATTTATAAAATGATTACAATAATATCATCCCCACAAAACTGTTGGAAGCATCAAAAACGGCCAAGGAATGCAAAATTTTGGGCAAATAGCAAGGACCAGCTATTTTTTTTTTTTTTTTTGCTGGAGATCATTCTTAGACTTTTATTGATTAGTAAAAATTTTACTCACTAATTACTATATGTCAGGCTCTGCTCTAAGATCTAAATGGCATGTTCCCTTAACTAGTTTGTATTAGGTAGGTACTGTATTTTACAGTTTTCTTGTCTCATCTATCTAAAGTATCTAGGTAGATAAATTGTATACAAGACTTAATACATTTCTACTAGATGATTGAAAATATGTTACTCCTTATATTCTTCCATAGGGGATGGTCACCATACTCAGATTGAACACTAGCTTTTGTCCTCCTCTTCTTTATTGAAAACCTTTCCTTATTTTACCTCCAAGGAATGCAACAATAACTGGTCCCAGCAATAGGGAACATGGTCAAAGCATTACACTTGGAATTAACAGGCTGGTTTCAGTGCTAACTGTCTCTTTACATGCTCAATGTGACCTGGGGCAAGTCTCAATTCTTTCTGTCTCTTGGTCACCATTCCTGAGCAGGGAATAATTTATGTCATGTATGGCTCTCAAGGATTCACAAGAAGGCTTGCAGCCATCAACATCTTAGATAGAAATGTGAATTCTTATTCTTTTATTACAAAGTATTTGTTGGGGAAGAAAAATAAGGACGGGAAGGGCAAGAAAAGCTCATCCTAGTGACCTAATTTTCCCTATTTATGTGTGTCTGTCTTCATTTGTTGAAAAATTCTGTTCAGGGAAAATATTGTGAAGATAAACCACAACAGATTAAATAAAAGCAGACCTCTGTCCATTTTCATGTAAGAAGGAACAAACCGATATAAAAGTTTCACCATAAAGTGGGAGAGGAAGCTCATTTTTTTCTTTGTTGTTGTGGTTTTCTTTTGTTTGTTTTGTTTTTAAATTCTGGTCATCAAATGTAGAGTGAGATTTAAAGGCTGGAAGCAACTTTGACCTCCTGAAAACTGAGATCTCGAATTCTATTTCACAGTCCACATTTCTTTCATTGCCACTAGGGTCACAAATGTATTGTGAAAAAGAGAGGGAACAGCAGAGGGCCCCCTATGATCAGAACAATGGCTACTTAATAGAAAGTGATGTGAATGTTTAAACATAAAAGCCAAACAGTTGATGCGTGGAAGTTCCCTTACCAGGTACTGCTGTACAGTCACCTGAAGGGGGAAGCATGTCCTTGGATCCTAAGGGCTCTTTGTCAAAGACTTTCTTTTGTTGATAGATCCATATAGTCCTTTCACATCCCAAATGCCCTAACAAAAGGGAATCAGTGGATAAATGATTTTACATTCATTTAAACCAGGTAGGAATTTAAGTGTGAGAAAATCTTCACAGTATAGTAGTAAGTAAGATGTATTTTTTCTTTGTTTGTTTGTTTGTTTTTGGTGGGACTGAAGTTTGAACTCAGGGCTTCATGCTTGCAAAGCAGTTGCTCTACCGCTTGAACCACACCTCCAGTCCATTTTAATCTAGTTGGAGATGGGATCTCATGAACTATTTGCTGGGTTGGCCTCCTGATTTCAGACTCCCAAGTAGCTACCTTTGCCCAGCTGAGTAAACTGTTCTATATGAAATGAACACAAGAATGCTCTCCATTTTTGATGTGTGAACACATACACTCAGGAAACACTGCAAAAGAATATATGCTCATGTTAACAGTGACTATCTCTGAGTTATGAGATGTTTTTTCTCCTTACATTTGTCATTTTTTTTTCCTTCTTAAACCAGAAGTAAAATTAGGGATATTGAGATGCTTCTGTGTAAAATGGTATGGTTTTTGTTTTAACAGACAGCAGGTTCTGTGACCAGTGGTGTAATGAGAATGCAATCAGGAAAATGAAAAGTTTTGCATTGCAGAGACCTGGAAGGAATCTGGTCAAAGACATTGGTAACAGAGGACAGAGTCGGCATTAGATAAGAGCTCATTATTTTATTTCTAAGACTAGTTTATGACTGTGAAATTTGGAATGGGCCTTAGGGATCAGGTAGAGTTATCTCAATTTACAGATGAAGAAACTGAAACCCAGGAAAGTAAAATGATGTTTTACCCAAATGAGAAGCTTGAAATCCAGGCTTCCTACACTGTAGTCCGTGGATTTTTTGTTTTGTTTTGTTCTACTCCATTGCTTCTGTAGTTACCTAGTTCTGTCTCTGTTTCAAATTGGATATGTCTGGAGATAACCTCTGAAACAGGACAACTATCCATGGCCGATTCTACCCCCATCCAGGGGAACTTTGGAAGACTGCATTTGTTCTAATCAGAAGGACAGGTGGGTCCTTCTGATCCTCTGAAATGAGATTCCAGGCCCCGGGCTCTGTCCTGGAATCTGCCTGAAGCTCTTTCTCTG